ACACACATTCACAGACCACTCTACTACACACACATTCATACAGCACTCTACTACACACATTCATACAGCAATCTACTACACACAAATTCATACATCACTCTACTACACACACATTCATACATCACTCTACTACACACACATTCACAGACCACTCTACTACACACACATTCATACAGCACTCTACTACACACACATTTATACAGCACTCTACTACACACACATCTATACAGCACTCTACTACACACACATTTATACAGCACTCTACTACACACACATCTATACAGCACTCTACTAGATCTCTACAAAGAATAATCAGAACTTTAGATCATTCAAACGCTGATGGGACACACATTGGAAGCAATGAGGAGTTCCATGTTTTGCCCAGGGACATTTCATCATGGTACTGCTGGTGGAATTGAACCCCCAACTCTCCCATTGGAGGACGGCCGCTCTAACCACTCAGCTACAGCTGCCCCAAGGTGGAAAGAAACCCAAAACATATGAATCAAGTCAGACAGTTTAAAGGCGACACTACCAAATAGACATGGATAGAAAATATATGTTTTAAGAACGTAATTAAACATTGTCTCTTTCATTATTTGGGCATTTAACAAATAAAAATAGTTTTAAAATTCTAACTGACCTAAAACAGGAAAGATTTGATGTTGGGGTGGAAAAAAAAAAACAAAAAAAACTTTTTGTCTTTTTTAGTGTATGTAAACATCTGGATTCAGCTGTGGATCATGAAACTAATAACTTTTCTTAAAATAATTTGTATAATTTAAATAATAGTTATAGTTGTGTCTTCATGATATTTTTTTTATTTCTGTTTGCACCTCTTTCTTGAGCTTCACTCAGTCACAGTTACTTTTCTCCAACCAGCTTACTCCAGCAGTAATGTGTAAAAAAACAGCTTCGTTTTTCTCACGAGTCTTGAAATAAACGAGTCTGGACGCTGCTCAAAGCATCTTGACGGGTTTTTATGTACAAGTTTTCTAAATGGATTAAATAAATCATAACAAACAGGAGTGACTGTCGGCCGTTCTCTCTGTAAACACTTTGACTTTTTCTACGCAGGAACCATCAACAAGAAGGAGCTGCAGGTTTTTAACCTCACCTCCCTCACCAAGTCCGAAGATGTTCTGTCAGCCACCCTTCATTATTACATCGGGGACCTTCAGAACCGGACCCAGAGCTGCTCCGGGCCCAAAAGCTGCCCCCACCACGGCCCCCGGAGACAAAGCCAGGTCCACATGGTCATCTGGAGCTTTGCTTCTGTGGACAACAAGATGAGGAGTCTCGGACAGTTCCGGATCAACGTGTCCACCCTCCACAGAGACTTCATATCGTGGCAGTGGAAGGACATAACCCGAGTGGTCAACCAGGCCAAGCACCACGACGAGCTGCTCATCGGGATAGACGTCGCCTCGCAGGGGCCCCGGCCCTGGAAGGAGCTCCTGTCGGACCGTTCGCCCTACATCCTGGTTTACGCCAACGACTCCGCCATCTCGGAACCCGAAAGCGTAGTGGCCACTCTCCAGAGACACCACTCGGTGGGAGGCGAAGTCCCGCACGGCCTCCATAAACTACGAGAGCGTAACCGCACTGAGGGAGGACACCTGCAGCCCCGACACAAGCGCTCCGTCAACGTCCTTCTCCCCCTGCAGAACAATGAGCTGCCTGGACCCGAGTACCCCTACGAGACAACTGCGTGGGGCGAGGCTGGCCCGTATGAGCCGCTAGAACCCAAGCAGCCCCGCCGGCCGCGGAAAAAGACACGCAAGAATCAGCGCCAGCGGATGCCTCTGCTGCAGTTTGACGAGCAGACGATTAAAAAGGCCCGGAAGAAGCAGTGGAACGAGCCCAGGAACTGCGCTCGACGGTACCTGAAGGTGGACTTTGCGGACATCGGATGGAGCGAATGGATTATATCGCCCAAGTCGTTCGATGCCTTCTACTGCTCAGGCTCCTGCCAGTTCCCCATGCCCAAGGTGAGACTCAGAGCTTCGCACGACAGTCACTTTCATTACAAAACAGCTTAATGTTGTGAAAAGTGCAAACAGCTAAAAGATTACACAGCTGCCACAAAAAGTCAGCAAACTGACACATCTGCATCACATCTTCTGCCAAACTGCAGTGGGAACGCTGAATGATGGTTAGCATCTGTAAAAACAGCCGAGGCTAAGATAAAACTATCAGAAGACAAGCTCAAATTAGCAAGACAAAAGCTAAAACCTGTAGACACCCAGTAGAATAAATCAAAACCAGCTAAAGCTGAAACAACCAGAACAGTAGCTTAAAGCTAAAACAATAGAAGCTAATTGTTCTTTTGGCTGCTTCCTTCTTCAGTGGATCAAACTTCAGAGGAAAAATTTGGCTACTTTTTTATGCCAACCCCTCTTCCTGAGGCAACACGGACTCGAACCTGCAGCCTTAGAACTGGCCACGGTGCTGACCACCAAGCTGTAGCAGCCCAGGAGGCTAAATTAGGAAAGCAGTGCATTACCAAAATTGTATACAGTACAAGCAAAACAGCAGCTAAAAGCTAAGGCTAGCAGATCAGCAGCATAAAAACCTAAAAGCAAAACTAAAACTAAAAGCTAAAAATGAAGCATCATGAAGTATATTTTCAAGAGTTTCAAGTTTATTTTAAGATTTTGTAGAGATCATTTATAAAAAATGTAAACAGAATTAAATAATTCATAAAGTACAAATGTTCCAAATATCAAAAGTTAAAACGTCCCAAACAAACTGAACATTTTAAAATCTGAAGTAGCTAAAGACAAACTGAAGTATCAAATCCAACAAAGTTCAGTCAGGTCATTTGGACGGTTTCTTTTTTGTTGGGACGATTCATCCTTCATCCAAAGGACTTCATCAGTCCAAGGAGCCACAAACAAACTCAGTCCCACAAGCAGCGCACTCACATAGTGGACCAACCAGTTTGCTGATGATATGATGTTTTCTGACCAAGACTGATGAAGTCCTTTGGATGAAAGACAAAATGTCTCAAAAAAAAGAAAGACATCGTTCAGATGACCTGACTTAACTTTGTTGGATTTTTAAAAATTTTTTTTTACCTGGATTACTCAGCATGAAGTTTGATGTTTTGAACCACTTTTGCTATGGCTGCCTCAGAGGAGTCGACGGGGGAGAGGTTGGACTACAGAAAACATATTATTACCAGCAAACTGGTTGGTCCATTATGGGAGTGTGCTGCCTGTGGGACTCAGTTTGTTTGTGGCTCCTCGGCCTGACGAAGTCCTTTGGATGAAGGATGAAACGTCTCGACAACAACAACAACAAAAAAACATCCAGAGGACCTGACTGAACTTTGTTGGACAAACTGAAGTAGTTGAATCTAAAACTTGTAGAAGAAACTGTAATTTTTAAAAAAGTGTTTAAGGCCTTCGAGTGCAGACGTCTGACAGCAGCTGATCCAAATCAACCTGCAGGACTCGTCTGAGCGACTGGACCGAGGAACTGAACCACGAGAGAGGCTGTTTCAGACTGAGCAGCGATCAGTCGGTTTTAGCTGATGCTGCTGGTGCGCTGAAGAGGCTGAAATACATATCACTACCACTGTGTGACATAAGACGCTGTAGGTGCCTTATATTAGAGATTAGGTGATGATAAGGGATGATAATCTTGAACAACAGCTTTAATCTGCAGCTGTCAGAAGTACCTGAGGATCTTAGAAGGTCGAAGCATCAAGTCTGCATTAATAAAAGTCAAGTCCTAATCCACGGAACAGACGATCTGAACAAACTGACGTTAGAAAATTACGTTTATGTAAAAACGCAGCATGAGTGACTTCACTGAAACAGCTGTTAAAAGAAGCCAAATAAAAACGTAAGCTAAAATGAAGAAAGCTAAACTACATATAAAATTAGCAAAATTGTGGCTGAAAGCTGAGACAAGCCAAACCAAAGCTAAAAATAAATAAAGAGCAATGAAACGGTAGCAGCAAAATCATGACAAAAAGTAAAATTTGCAGGACAGCAGCTAAAAGCTAAAACTAGCAACGCAGATGTAAAAGCTAAACTGATCAAAACTAAAAGCTAAAATCAGCAGAGCAGTTTCTAAAAGCTCAAATTAGCAAAAATAAAACTTTAAGGTAAAATTAACTTTACAGTAGGTAAAAGAGAAAATTAGCAAATCAGCTAAAACTACAAATTGAAGCAAATACACTAAATTAGATTTTAAAGTTTTTTTTAAAGTATCTGTAGAGATAATTCATTTTAATAAAAATACATTTAAAAAAGTTACAAAACGCAAAAGTCGTAGCTATAATGTCCTAAACCAGCTGAATGTTTTGATAAATAAGGTTCAAGGTTATTTATTGTCGTTTGCATCACATGTGGTACATGAGGTGGAACAAAATTGTGTACACATGGCCCCAGTTACACCCCAAAATAGCAAAATAAATGAATAAAGTATTAAAAAAAGAAACGGTATACAAGGCTCTAAGATGTACGCTAAACATTATTAATGTAAAATACGACGCATTAAACTGCAGCCTGATAATAAATGGTTAAAACAGCTAAAACCATGCTGAACTAATTTGTGTAAAAACTCGAAACGGCACAAACGCTGACTCGGCATAAAGCTCGGAGCAGGTGTCAGACCTCAGCTGAAGCTCGTTCAGATCCTTGGGGTGGGGGGGGGTTTAGCTGCTGCAGATTCAGTTTTTACACGTTTAGCTGAGCGAACAAACGAGCAGCAGAGCTTCGGCTCCTGGTGACGAGATAACATCGCAGGTATTTCAAACACGGCCGGAATGCTCCAGCTCCGTTTCTTTAATTGGACGGATCCAACTCGCTGGTCTTTGGAGTAATTAGTCCCAGAAGGTTCGGGGCCTTCGGGCCAACGGGCCAACGGGTCCCCCTCCTGCAGGGCTTCTGCATGGTCACACGAGCCCGCCACGCTTTGTCAGAGCAGGAGTTAGAAGCTGCTCTGCAGAAACATTATTTATTTTTAACGTGTTAAAGCAGCATCCAACATCTGATGGAACAAAGTTAGACTTGATTCCTCCAACGTTTTCTGATCTGCACCACCGTTTGTATAAATCAGGACGTGTCAGGTTTAGGCATAAAAAAGACACGGGCAATATATGACCTGAGGGCCGAAAGTGGTCCTCAGACAACTTCCATCTGGCCCCCAGTATCCTTAAATGAAAAACACCTTTTAAATAAGTTGATGAAAATCTGCATTTCATCATAGAAACGTGCGTCTAAACTAAACATGATGGACAAACACGTTGAAGGTCTTTGGATTCAGATGCTTTTTGTGTGAACGCTTATGAAGCATTCACACTTTTGTGTCACACATTATCCTTCCATACATTTGTTGGCATCTTTCTTGTTCCACAGTTTTCATCTACTTCAACAAATCATAAATCAAAATGTTCAGCTCCTTCAGGACAATCCTGCTATGACTTTTGGTATTAGTGAAACTTTGGGTTTTTGAAATATTTAGCCTTTTCTGCCATTTTTTTCCTCATATGAACTGAGCCCATTTTACATCCTTCAAATCTTTTACAACCTTTTACTGCTCCTTTCACATTTTGTTCTGCTTCAGCTTCTTTCAGCTTCCTTCTGTAAAGTTAAACATTTTTTCAGCTTTTTTCAGCTAATTGCAGCCGTTTTTCAGCTGTTTTGTGGTCCTTTCAGATTTTTTTCTGTTAACTGCAACATTTTTGTGCTTCTTCTAACTTCTTTCTGCTAATTTCAGCTTCTTATGCTCCTTTCAGCTTATTTTTTTGCTAGTTTCAATTACTATTTAGCTCTTTTGATGCTAATTTTAGCTGTTTCAGCTAATTCCACATTCTTTAAAGCTAATTTCAGGTCATTCCACTTCCTTCTGGTAGTTTTTCTGCTAATTTAAGCTTGTTCTTCAATTTCAGCTACATTTCAGCATGTTTTTTTGTTTTTTTTTTGCTAATTTCAGCTGTTTTTCAGCAAGTCCTTCAGCAATAAGCATTCACACTGCATTTTTGCAGGAAATGTAATTTCTCTATTTTTCTTTAAGGTTGTTGTGTTTCAAGAACAAGAGTGAATAATAAATACTTACAAAAGCCAACATATAACTTTTTTCATATTTAAGCTAACAAATGTGAGCTAACAAATGTAAGCTAACAAATGTGAGCTAACAAATGTGTTGTCACAAGAGACAGTTTACAGAAATTGTTGAGACATTTTTTTTATCCAACATGCTACGACAAGACAAACTAGAAAAAGTTGCAGAATATTTGTCTTGAAAAAAGTTGTTCTTGCATAAATGTCTCGATGAAGGTGAAAATGGGCCGATGTGCAGAAAAAGAGCATTTTAGCAAAACTTCGGCTAAGTTTATGGTTTGCCCCTGTTTCCAGCTGCTTCGGCTGTTTCTGTAGGCAAACAAACCATCGCTTAATGTGAGAACGTCAGAGTGAGAAAAATATAAGTTTCTTTCTTTGTTTTTAGTTTGGTCTTCCTGACTTAAGTTTGCAGTCATTCACTTCAAATTAAGATGATAAAAATTTATCATAGAACGAAAAATATTTGATCCTTTTTAGTCAAATCTTCTCAGGACACATTCCAAGGTGATCCGTTAGTGCTTGTTGTGTCTGGAAGATGACTCTCAGCGACTACCACTCTCTGTATAACTGACTGGGTTATCACTTTTATTGTGTTTGATTTGCTGCAGCAGCCATCTTGGCTGAGGTTAACTCCGAGTGTTCTTCAGCTGCAGATGTTCAGCCATTAACAGTAACAATAATAATAATAATATTGTTGTTTTTATTTATTTGTTTTTTATGAATGCTGACCAGAAAAATGAGAATGTTTTCTACGACTGCATCTAAAAAACTTCCATCCATCATCTTTACTCGCTCCTTCCTTGCCGAGTCACGGGGGTCACTGGTGTCCATAGCCAGCAGTCATTGTACGAGAGACGGGGGACACCTGGACATGTCTCCTGTCCATCACAGGACTTTAAAAAAAAACATTACAAGACATTATTTTTTTGAGTGATTAATTTTTCAGAAAATGTGAAAATGACTTTAAGTTTATAAATGTGACAACAAAACATTTGCTTTTGTTTTTTTCTTCAGGCTCTGAAACCGTCTAACCACGCCACCATCCAGAGCATCGTCCGGGCCGTGGGCGTCGTCCCGGGCATCCCCGAGCCGTGCTGCGTCCCCGAGAAGATGTCCTCCCTCAGCATCCTCTTCTTCGACGAGGACAAGAACGTGGTGCTGAAAGTGTACCCCAACATGACGGTGGACTCCTGCGCCTGCCGGTAGTTTCTCCTCCCCTCTGTTCAGACGGACCTCACGTCAAACAATAAACTGTCTCTCCTGGTCCTCACAAACTGAACACCTGTCTGCGCTGGAGGAGAGCGCCTCCTGTTGGTCCAGGTGAGGAGGGGGTGGAGGGAACTGTCAATCAAATCCTCACCTCAGCATCAGCACCGCTCGTTGGTTTATCCTTTGGGTTTTAATGAGAATGAGGCAAAACAGAGACAAGAACTCAACCGAGCTGATGCCTCTGACGGGCGGGGGCGTTTCATTTATACCACACAGTTTCACCCCCCCAGGGGTTCCTGTTCATTCTGTAGTATTTATGTACCGCCACTGTTATCCTCTGTAGGAACAGACATTTATCGTTCTCGCCTCGGCTGCAGCGGCTCCAGGAAGAACAGATCGCCGCTCCTCATGTTTCTTTCTTTGTGTTTGTTTTGCAGAAGCGTACGCGACAGCTGTTAAATTAAAATCTAAAGCTTTTTCATTTTACTTCACAAAGAGCAAACTTTAAGAAAACACACATCAGAAGAATATGACAGGACAAGATGCCAAGTTACATTTAGATTTTTTTAGTGACTCCTTAGACCTGACACAAATTTATACAAAGATATAAAAATGCTAATTACAGGAGGCTGAAGGAATTTGTTCAAGTTGTTATATTCTGATGTCATTCTTACAGAGTAACCATTATTACAAATAACCTTTAAAAAGTGCCTTAATGAACATCTCATCATTTCTCAGTTTCTCCTCTGACGTTTTCAGTTTGCTGTTCAGCCGTAGTTCACCTTTAGAGACAGATTTAATCATATTTGGACCAAAAGTTGCACCAGGAGTATCATAAAAATGACAAATCTTCACTATATTCATCACTTAAATAAACCGAGTGCAGGTAATGATGATATAAAACCAGGTTTGGGTCCATTTTTAAGAGAAGTTGAGCTTGTTTTAGTTTGTTGGAGCCAGAAAGGTTTACAAGGCTGCCCCTAGTGGTCATTTTTAGTACTGCGCATTTAAAAATAAATAATTCACAATAATCATGAGTAAAATATTAGCACATCATGTAAATGTGCCAATTCTATCCATGCACATTCATGTGTGCTGTTTCTGGCACATTGGCATTGCAAAGTAAAATAATAACATGATAATAATAATATAAGAACAAAAACTACCAACATGAGCAATATAATTAGATGATCTTAATTAAAAATATTAACGATAATCTAAAATGTTTGATTTCATTCAACTGTTTCAGCTGAAAACTACAAGGAGGGAATGATCAGAACGGATCAGAGTTTCTTTAGAACGGATCAGAGTTTCTTTAGAACGGATCAG